ACCAAGCTCTGAGCTGCTGTGTGTGTCTGTGTGTGTGTCTGTGTGTGTGTGTGTGTGTGTGTGAGAGCAGAACATTGCAGGTTCTGAGGAAGACGCTGAAGCAGGCCTTCTCCGGCTGTACTGTCATCCTCTCAGAGCACAGAGTGGAACCACTGCTGGAGTGTCAGTCGTTCCTGGTGAGTTTGGGATTAAAGGTGGAATCTGTCATTTGTCATGACAAAAAGTTTAACAAATGATTCATCATCCTTGGTGGTTAAGGACGTGGACTTGGGTCTAGAAGGTTTCAGGTTCGAGTCCGTCAACTGCCAAGTTGCCACTTACCCCCCCTCACTGCCCCCAGGGTGATTTAGCTGCCCCCTTGCCGCTGACTTTGGTGATGGGTTAAAGCAGAGGTGCAGTGGTGCAGTGGTGAGCTGTGTCACAATGACACAAATAATTCACTTCACTTTCATTAAGACTGAAGCGGAGGCTCAACGTTCCTGACCACACGTCAGAAATAAGAGATTTTCTTTTTATAAAAAATGGCAACAAATGTTAAAGTTCCAACGACATCCCTCAAAGGTTCACTGAGGTGTACAAGAAAATGAATTTGTTTCTAAAATCAACTGACCGAATGATTTGATGCAAAAATTCAGAGATTTAAAAGCTTCAAATTGCTGAAACAGTTTTTTTTTAAAAAGGAGTAAAAGAAAAGGACAAATATGAAGGAACGAGTGAAGATGTATAGAAAAAAAAGAATCACGAAATAATCCCAGTTAATCCCATCTCTGACGTCTCCGGCCTCCTGTGTCCTCAGATGATCGAGAACAGCTCCATGAAGAACTACGACTCCATCCACAAACTCCTGAACGAGACCAGTCACCTGAAGCAAGCCATGAGTACCGCAGACAGGCTCCGCCTCTTCCCCACACTGCACCGCCTCAACTCCAGCAAGAGGGCGGCGCCACCGGTAACCAAAATCTCATCACTGCCAGAGGAAGCGGAGGATGAAGTCCAGGACACTCGACTCTGACCGGCCCGGAAACTCAAGTTACACACACACACACACACACACACACACACACACACACAAATGCCCTAGTTTTTAATAAATACACTGTTAATTTAATTTAGCAGATAGTTTATATTTATGAGCCTTAAGGATAATAATATTAATATAAAGGGAAAAACAACAACTCAAAAAAGTAGAAAAATCTCAAGATAACTTTTTAATTGTTCTCTGTTGATAAACTGATGACGGACACTTGACTAACTATATTAGTGTTGACTAGTATAGGTTTCATTCCTGTGTTCGTACGCGTGCAGAACTGACACTGTTCAAGAAAAGAAAACACACAAATGGTTGATACGTTAACAGTCGTACGTGTAAATATAAAAATGTCTGTGATTATAAATCAGGTGTCGGGGACTAGAGAGTTAAGACTTTATTTATTGACCTTGACAGTCCTGATGTACTTCAGGTAAAACCTGACATTAAAAAGGGACGTCCAGAACGGATTAGAATGTACGTTAAACACACGGTATCAGAGACGCAGCCTCGATAACGGGAATCTGTCGCTGAAAAGAGATGATTTCAGTTAAACAGGTGACTTTTGTATAAAAGCTTAGATGAATGGTTTTATAAAAATATAACTGTCCATAAAAACCAACCAGAGTCCCTCAGTTTCTCTGTGGTATTGTTAGCCAGAGTAATGCTAACTAGCTTCTGTGCTAACAGTCCACAGAGCAGTTATTAATCTATAAAGTGCCTTATTTAAACAACAGCAAAGACTAAAAAGGGAACGACATGTGACATTTGTTCACAGCCTTTGATTAAATCGACCTGGTATTGATCAAAAATGCCTCAGAAACTATTTCACACCTTTGCTAATCGTAGTAGCCACAGCTACTCTGCACCGCTAACGTAGCAAACGTCTGATAGAACCAGGCTCAACCTTCAGATTCTGATTCACTTTTTATACTCAGACATCTGGCTGTTTTGTTTAAATTTGAGAGAAATGTCGTTTCACTGACCTGCAGCCAAACTGGATTATTTAGAGAAACGTCACTAAAGATTAATGAGTGAAGATAGCCATGATTTTATCCTGATCCGTTTGCACTTTATAAACACTAAGGTACTCGTCGTCGTCGTCGTCGTTGTCATCAGCCTCTAGAACACTCTGATTATTAAACTTAACTCGAAACTTAGTAAAAGTTAAGTAAGTTAAGTAAAATAACTTTGTAGATAATGAAATGATTTCTGATGTGATTCTAATGGATCAGGCAAAAAAGCCAATAGTAAATTTTGCTGAGAAATAACAGTGACTATATTTTCAGAACCACTGCTGTAAAAAATCAGCAGTTTTTTTTTTTTTTGGTTACATGGTTTCCCTCTGAAACTTCATATTTTTGATTGGTTTGAAGGGAAAACTGTGTTTAATTTGTTTTTGTTTTTTTTTTTAAATACTAATCACGTGTTGTGTAGCAGAGGTATTTGAGGTAATTAAGGTACCACCCAAACGCCTTGATATGTTAACTGTGACAGTTGAAATATTTTTTACAGTGTAAATGAAGAACAAAGCTGTTTGTTACTCATAGTAAAAAAAAAAAAAAAAAAAAAAAAGGACACCAATGTCCCAAAATGTATAAATGTATTTGTTCAATCAACTATATTTCCAGTAAAACAACAAATTTTAAGTCTTCGACATCTGGTGCTGTAATTTATTTTAGTGTTTTGGAAATTTCTTATGTCAGATTTTTAAAGCTAGAAAAAAATTCTTGCGCTTAAAATATATATCCGATATTAACTTTGCCGATAAACGATATTGTCCAAACAGTTAATTTCCGATTCTGATATCAACCGATACTGATATTCATTTATTTATCTGTACAAACCACTGTATAAAGTGCTGACACCAGCATTCTGCGTACACAATCGTGAACATTAAAATAGATTAATAAAATGAGCTGCGATGCTGCCATCTAGTGACTTTCACTTTAATATACAACCGTTTATCCCTAAAAGTACTTTGAGGGCACACATCATTTGGCCAAACCCAGGGATTGCGTTATCGGGTTTTCATTATTGGAGGAAAAAGTGAAAATGATTTATGAATTATGCTAATATCGGCTCATTTTTTGTTAGAAATTAGCACTTCTAACTGTAGTCAGAGTTTCTTCTGCTTGAGTTAAATCTTGAAAGAGAACTAACGTAATAATTAACCTTCAGAGAAGAAAAAAAATGACAGCGTAAGTCCGACGGGGATTTTAACAATTCCACTTTAATGTTTGTGCTGGAAAGACAAATCTTTAAACTTCAAACAGCGGTCGTACAGATCTAAATCGTGGTGGACTAGAATCTCTCCTGTACATATGTATATTAGGTATTTATATTTGTATATATAAACAATATCCACTTAAAATAAAAACACATGAACAACACAGTGATGGTGAAACGACGATGAGGTGAGCGACACGGTCGGGCTCAGCTGGGGCTAAATTCAACGTGACTCAGAGGATGATGGGAATTTAAAATATTTATTATGGCTTACAGTTGACAGAGGACATCCTGTGTTTATACGTGTCTATTACTTATTGCCACATCGCCCTCACTCTGAAACAAGTGAAGGGTTTGGAACCAAACTCATGTTACAAACGCTATGTACAAGTTCACTTTATTTATTTTTTTTTCTTTTGTTTTTTTTGCCAGCAGTTTTACTCCAAGGTTTTTGTCACTGTACAAGCGCCAGACCACGTACACCAATCTATAGAGCTTTTAAACGTACTAATTCTTATTTACAAATATATTTGGTAAAACCCTGATTAATTTCAACAGTATTTAAACCAACCTTGCGACTATTCAAAGGTAAAACACTTGAATATCTCAAAATACTTCATAGCAAAAAAAGGAAAGAAAATTAAAACCTGCTCGTTTCTTTCTTCAAAAACACATTTGACTTTTCATTGACTTTTCAGTGACTTTTTAACTCAGGAGCAGTACAGAAGTACACAGTACAGAAGTACACAGTACAGAAGTACACAGTACTGTGACAGCTAGTCGAGGCAGTTTTCACAAGTCTTATTTTTATGTCTCTACAGAGGACTGTAGGTAAGAAATGGATTTCTTACATCGGGTTTTGAAAGACAAGTCCAGGAAGTGAACCACTGGGGGGCGACACTGTTCTGCTTGTTGCAGAGAAAACAGATTTCAATCATGTTAAAGTTAGTTGCGTTGTGCATCATTTTCCAATAGTGCCACCATGTGGTCTTCCCTAAAAAATAGCGATAGTTTTACACTCGTCCACTAGGTGTCTACGGTGGTAAGACCCCTGTGACAAGGCCTCCCCCATCCAGGAGTGGGAATCTAACCCTCCTCCTTCAGACTTCAGAGGTGCTGCTCCTCATCCTGCATCTGTCCCTAACTTAACATGATGTCTATTGTGTGATTTCAAACAGACCACAGGGGGCGTCAGTGGGCAGGGCTGCCACTTCACAGTGTGTTTGTGAGTATGTTTTTACTTTTGGCTGTTTGTCCTCAACCGCTCCGTGACAGAGGTCACACAGACGTCCATTTCTTATATACAGTCTACCGTCTTCAGACTCTAAACTCCTGTCACTCTCTGCAGGTTGAATTACTGGAATAAGGCAACAATAAAGTAACCTGCTGCGCTCACGTCCCGTCTTTTCTTACATTTTAGTTACCGTCAAACGAAGCCTCTTATTTAAACGTCCTGCACGATCAAATACTTCAAATACTGTAATAGAATAAAACTATGGTCCCCAAGTACACAACTGTAGTACAGTGTAACAAGTACGGCTATAACAAGTACAAATACTAAGAGTCCAGGGTCGTCAGGTACCAAGTCTTTACATCATGGAGTGAGGTTCACAGCAAAATCAGGGGAAGAAGGAGGTGAGGAAGAGGAGGTGAAGAGGTGGAGGTGATGAGGAGGTGAAGAGGTGGAGGTGATGAGGAGGTGATGTCTACTTGTTTTCATGCAGGTCTCTGTGGAGGATCCAGATGTCCTCGTGTGATCGGTTGTTGTCGATGTTGTTGCGATGGTAGTAGTTGTTGTTGCTGCTGCTGCTGTTTCTGCTGCGATTTGGAGGCGTCTGTGTTCTGATTGGGCTCTTACTGCTGCTGCTGCTGCTGCTGCTGTGGTTGTTATTATTGCTGCTGCTACCAGTGGTTGCAGCTGTTGAGGCTCGTGCCTGCTGCCCCCTGCTGCTCGGCACGGGGAGCTGGGATTTGGCACGCAGTCCTGTGGAGCGCCGGTTGCTGCTCTGGACGTCCGTGTGGTCGGAGCTGCGAAAAGACTGATGAGCAACGGTCTGTGAGAGGAAGTGGAGAGTTTGAGGAGTTAGTAAACGTAAATGTCAACTACACACGATTAATCATGATTAATTGATAAAAATCCACATTATATATACAGTATATATTTATATATATTTTTTCTTCATATAGTTGGTAGATTTTGAGTTTTTCTTTGTGCTAAATTCCCAAAAAATCCAAAACAGGAAGTTGTATTTTTCTCTGTGACCTTTGACCCCGTCCTGGTTTTACTGCAGCTTCAACTACATCAGTGAGAATAACAGTACGGCCCTGGAAACTGTTACTGGTCCTGAACAAACAGGTGATGGAGCGTCAGGTGAGATGATGACAGGTCATAACTACGACTCACACGGGGTTAGAGTCGGTTCTCTGTGGTTCAGGTAATGAACAGGAGCTAAAATAAGAAGGAGCTCTGCAGACAAACACCATCATAACAAACCTACTCCAACTGTTGTGCTGTTTCTCCCTCTCTCTCTCCCTCCCTCTCTCCCCCCTCGGTCTCTCCCTCCTCACCGTCCGCTGCTGCTCCTGCTGGACGTTGGTCTCCTGTTCAGGCTTCTGGGTCTTAGACTCTTGACTGGAGACGCTGGAGAACAGGAACAGGTCGTCTTTGGTCTGAGAGATCTGTGCAGGAAAAGAAGGACGTTTAAATACGTGAGTGTGTTTGTGTGTTTCTGTGTGTGTGTCTGTGTGTGTGTGTGTGTGTGTGTACCTTGCTGATGTCCGGCTCAGACTTGCTTGAACACATGGACTGAAGTTCTCTGATCAGATCCGTCTCGTCGTCAGAGAAAACGGACAAACCCACAGTCTCCCTGACGAAACAAACAATGACGTCACAGGTTAACGTTTGATACAGTCGGTGTTTCTTTTTACCTGCTGCTCTAATCTGGACCGTTTGTGTGAGCAACCGTCGCTGTTTATTTAAATGTGACCCAACACTGCCACCTGCTGGCTGCAATAAAGCTAGACAGGCAAAAAAAAAAAAAAAAGAACACAAACCTCTGGACTGTTCCGTTGGTGAAGCTCAGATCAGAGTTAGACAGTGAACCTGGAGTCGAGAGAGAGCGGGATTAACACGAGGCTGAAACTGAAGTTATTTTATTTTTATATAATAATACAAAATATATTTTAGTACGAATTTAAATAGGCTTTCATAAAAATGTGCTTTTATTTCCAGTTTCATTGACTTATTTTACGTCTCTCTTATCAATTCTACTTGTTATAATGGAGAAAATAGTGTATTTAAAATGTCAATGACGAAGACACTTCCTGTCCTCCAGGTCTTACCCTCTCTGAAGGAACTTCCACAGCTCCAGTTTAAGGCGGGGCTTCCCTTCTTCCGAGGGCTGGTGTTAGATCGTCTCAGCTTGCTGCTGTCCCGTCCCTTCCTGCCTCCCCCGACGTTGTTCCCTTTGAAGGAGCCGATGGCCGACAGAGAGAGGCTGCCCCCCCGGAACTCCAGCAGATACCGGTCGGTTTCTTTGGGAGAGGACGAGGAGAAGGTTGATAATGAACAGCTCATGTCATGAGTGAGTACTTCTCCTTTTATTTTTTTACTTTTATGTTTGGAGATTACTTCAGG